CAACTCGAAAGAGGGGGGTTTGAGGCATCCAAGACCCCAAAAGGAATGATTCAAGCCCTAACCCCAAATAATGAAATCCATACAATAGAGAGAAAGAGGAGTCCGATTTGGTACCTCAAGATGAACTTCTTGCTTGGCTAACTCAGAATAGCAACCTCCTTTGACCCTTCTTGCTGGAGCTCCTCTCCTTTCTTGCAAAATCACACCAAAAGCTCAAATGGCCTTCTCTCTCTCGCTCTACACACTCAAGCTCGATGGGGGTTCTCTCTCTGGAATGGTAGCCGCAAATGAAGGCCATAAGTGCCTTTAAATAGGGCTTAGACCCGAAGATTTAGGGTTTCTGTCCACAGCGCGAAATCGTCGAGTCGACTCACCGACTCGTCGAGTCCATTCATTAAATCCAGTCAGCAATCGCGATCCTACTCGACGAGTCTAGGCGTCAACTCGTCGAGTCCCTCTTCTTGACACAAAAATAAATAATTAACATTTGATACCTGAAATTCCGGATGTTACATGTTGAACCTGACACCTCTATTTATAGGTTGTGAAACAGCTCTACTCGACGAGTTGGTACTTCTACTCGTCGAGTCCAGGCTAGGTGTCACCATTCTGGTGGCAGAACGTGGGTGGCCTACATTGTGCCACGTCACCCCTTTTGCAGCAGCACCCTGCCGACTTCTAAACCCCGTAACTTTCGCATACGAGCTCCGTTTTCGGCATTCTTTATATCCACGCGTAGGTAAAAACAAGATCTACAACTTTCCTTTTGACTCCATCGACTAATTCTCGACCGATATTAAATTTAACAGTAGGAGGAGATTATACTGTTAAATGACCGCGTAAAATTCATAACTTCTTCATACGGACTTTGTTTTCGTCTGTCTTTTTATCGTTGAGTTCCCATTAATGAGATCTTCAACTCTCATTTAGGTCGCGTAGGCCAAAAACCGCTCGAACTAAAATTCGAGTTTTGGGCCGTGCACTGCTATGGCGAATCTTAGAAAATTCATAACTTCCTCATACGAAGTCAGATTTTGGCGTTCTGTTTATGGATGTTCTCGGTTTAACATATTCTACGACTTTCGTTTAGATTACTAAGGACAAAAAGTCTTCTATCGTAAATTCACTATTTACGCTTCCCGGCGCCGTGCCGGTTTTGCCGTAAAACTTCGACGAGTCATAACTTCTTCGTTATAACTCGGATTTCGGCGTTCTTTATATCCCCGGAATCCTTGATTCGACCATTACAACTTTATGTAAAGATACCGGGCTTATATCACACTTTAATTTTGACGCTTATTTTTATCCTTTATTAATTATATCTTTATAATTAAGTATAAAACACATAAATTCACATAATTCACGTAATACTCAAATAATTCATCTTTATCGCTTCAAAAAGAGTTACAATAGTTGACCTAGACTATTGCATCATCTACTAATGCCTAGCCCCGAAACACGGGCGTTACACTTCTTACCCTTCATATCTATATTCTTAACTCTAATACCTTGCCATTCTATTCACATCTAGACCCAACAGTCCCATCTCATACTACATTCTTCTCTATCTTCTAAGGGAAATAACATCCCACTGCATTGAAATTGATATTGTCGAGTAAATATATATATATATATATATAATTTAAAATTGTTTGGTCAATATGGCCTACGTTCCAATATATATATATATATATATATATATATATATATATATATATATATATATAGAGAGAGAGAGAGAGAGAGAGAGGGAGAGAGAGAGAGTTAGGTTCAAATGTTTCTAGCAACTATTGTATGCTTCTAAGGACCAAGGAGAATTCAAGAATTAATAAATAATTAAATAAATTATTTAAGGGTATAATAGTAATATTTGCTATAACTAATTATGGTAAACAATTAATTCAATCGATATCACTTCAAATTAGGGATACCACTTTTCACAAACCCTATATCTCCACGCCTCTATCTTTGTGATGACTACAACCATTACACTTGATAACCGATTTACCTCCATTGCAGTCGCCAGATCACAAGTCACCATTGCTGTCTCCCAACAAAAAAAAAAACTTAGAATTCAACGCTTGAAGCAATCAAATTTGAAAAGATCTGTGGCAACCCATGAATGTTGATTATCCATAAACAAGGTTGGTAATAAAATCATAAATTATTAGTCGTCGTTTTGTTCTAATCTTCTTTTTCACGTTCTTTCTTTTCCCTTTTTGTTTAACATTTGTTATATGTTCTGATCACAAAATTTAATCCCAAAAAAGAAACCAATATTTTTATGGAATTTTGGTGGTACGTTGTACATTATGGGATTAAAAGCAATAATATTTGGCAATAAAAAATATGACTACCATGGAAATAGTTTTTCTTTTACATTTATTCAGTTATTCTATGTATAAATGTATGAGATGTTAGTTGCGTTCTCCAACTAGTAATCTTAGCATTAATTTGATTTTATATGTTAAGGATTGTAAATAATCTGTTTTGTTTAATTTTTTATTTATGTTGTTAATTTTCACTTACTACTAAAAGGATTCCGAAATGGAAAATTTTTCGTAGTATTTCATGTTTCAACCGGATTTATCATACATAAATCAAAATAATATCTTTATTTTTTGGATTCTTGTGTTTTAGCCTAGCCATTGTTTTTCAATCACCACTCACAGATTTCTTGGAAAAACTAATATACGATGAAAATGTTGATTTGTTTTACATGATGAATGTTATTTCAAACCTGCAAATTCTTTCAGAATGAGAAAACACAATATTCTTTTAGAATGAGGTTGACAACACTCATCTATTTGATGCCAATTATTCTGACAGAATTCGATTTTAATCTCCTTATTTGTCAAGATAGGAAAAGTAAAAAAACATTTTGCTATGATTTACATTTGATTTTAGTTTTTGTCATATAGAAGAAAAGACTATGATTGAAGGGTATTTTGTCAGATGTTATTTGTATAAGTGCATTCTGTTAAAATGTCTTTAAGAATTTTTGTTGACAACAAGTATATTTATATAGTATTTATATTCTCATAGAATAAACAGGTTTTTGCATTTTAATATAGAAAAGAAAGAAAACATGGTAAATGATAGTGTAAAAATTGATTGAAAACCTTTCAACAAAGCATCATGAGCCAATGAATACATTCTATGAGTATTCTTTCAAGAGCATTCTCATAGAATATCATTGTTGTAAGAATGGTTTGCTAAATTTTACTATTTTTTCTATTGTACAAAAATTTCAAGATTGTTAAATTGCAAATTGTTGGTTTGTTAAGTTTTATCATCTAGAAATACGATTGCAAGTTGCAAGTAACAAGTTTTTAATTCTTTATAGTGGCAATTAAAGTTACAACTAGCAAAAATGTATTATATGTATTCTGTTACAATGTATTCTATGTATTCTGCTAGAATGTATTCTATGTATTCTGTCATACTCTATGTATTCTGTCAGAATATATAAAGTGATAACATGTTTTTAACCATTCTTAGTTTTTATTGTATTTGTGATAGGATGGCTGGAAGAATGTGTTGAAGATCTGATAGAAATAACTTGAAGAATGCATAATAGATTGATCACACAAAGTTAAAGAATGTTGTTATTTTTTAAGAATTTTATTCATTTTTGTTGATATTCTTTTAGAATATGTATAATTATATTAAAATGTATAAGGATTTTTGTCTGTAAGAATATATATGAATTTGTATTTAAGTTCGGATGTATAAGAATATATTAGAATGTTGTTATTTTTCAACCTCAGATTCAAGAATTTTGTTATTCTTCAATAATATCCTAATAGAATAAAATTCTGAAAGAACATCATTCTAGCAAAAAAAATATTCTGATAGAATAAAATCGGTTATGTTTACAAATTATGTTAGAATTAAAATTGAATTAATTAAAAAAAAATCATATTTTTAAAATTAAGAGAAATAATTATCCCTAAAAATCCAAAAATTTCCTTTTATAAATGTAGTTAATTGTCCAAAATACCATTTTGCAAAAATTTGTGTGATTATATGATACATGTTATCCCATTGTAATATCATACACTCTCAAATCATGTCCCTTGATTAATTCAATCCATTGGTCCAGATCTGTGCATTCTGACACACAATAATTAGTAAAAACAAAACAACCTAAACCTATATATATATATATATATATATATATATATATATATATATATATATATATATATATATATTCACATATGTAAGAAGGACTCTTAAGTAAGTGTTAAGACTCTCTCATATACATCACACATACACATGACCGCTTTCCTTTTGCGTGGAGGAACCAACCTCATTTTATATCGTTACTAACTTGATCATTGGAGGTTGCTTTTGGGACGCGAGTCTTGGGGCGGTTCTAACCGTCTCATTGATGGGTGTTAAATGTGTCAAATCAGGATCAACTAACGACGCTGAAGCACAATATTAAAGATCCACTCCCGATCAACCCAATGATGATTTCCCGTAACATCAATAGATTATATTGCATCTACATGGCTATGACATACCAATATTTTTAATTGATTTAACTATTTAAGTATTATTTAAAACTTTTTATAAAATATAAACATATATTTATTTAGAAAGAATTTTGAAAGGATATTTATTTGTATCCATTTACCGTCATACCGTTATGCCGTATTGATTCGCAATTTTTTAAAATGGCAACGCAGATACTCGTAAACTACACTTGAATTCTGCATATGTGCTTATGAAATTTGAATCCTCACACGAACATTTCACCATGCTAATAGGCCAAATGCCTATTAGTGTATTGATTGACATGGTAATTTAAAACGGACACGAGGGATATTCGTATAAGTTGAAGATATAACTAGTACAAACCCAAACAGTGATCGGATTATCGTATACCCAAAATAAAAGTCGACCTCATTTTATTAGCATCAAAAAGTGCTAAAATGAGCCAAGGAACTTATAAGATTTTATCCTCAAAAACATTTTTAGAAGATAAAATTTGCATGTATATAATAAATACCTTAGCTTCTTATTCATTACAAAGAGGATCTGATTTGTTAAATTGGCGCAGTAGGGCTATCGAGATCTCGAAAACAGGTGGGCAAGTCCTTGAATTTTCTCATTCAATCGTGTGTCGTCAACAACAAATTGGGAAACATGAGAAGCAATTGAACCATTGGTTGCCACCAGCTTTAGGGGTTGTGGCGGGAGCTGCAGGCGGTGGTGTAGTTTCTGCCTCCGCTGCTCCTTTTGGCGTTGGCGGCGTTGATGATGGTGACTGAGGTTTTCCAGCATCTTCCTTCACCGGACTCCCCCCTGCAAGTCTGAGAGTAGCAAACACCATAAGCTCGATTCTACAAATCATGAATCGTCAGTATCACCAATGGATTACTAGAAACTTACAAAGGGAATGCAAATGAACCAGTGCTTTGGGAACTTGAATCCGAATTACGAGTCCCCTCGGTCGGAACCCTAGAATTTGGACTGGACTCCCAATCCGGTGAGCTTTCCTTTCCCCTTACGAAATCGGTTGGTGATGCATTTAGGGTTTCAAGGAGTTCTTCCTTCTCTTCCGCACTCTTCCCTTCGTCTTCTACTGTTGTTTCCACCATCGGGCTTGTCAAACTGCCATGTGGCGTAAAACATGAATACTCGAATCCGTCGTCCAGCCAGTGAAGTTTTCCAGACTGGCTTATAAAAAAATCACTATCCATGGAGAAGCTATTGCTTCCCATGTGGATACTGAATAACGATTCATTGGAAGCTGCACTCCATTCCGAATCATCACTCTGTTTTGGAGAAAATATAGATGAGGGGATCCTGTTTGGATCATAGTCATCGGATTGCGCCATCACTTGGATCGGAGGAGATTGTATTGGAGATGCATTTGATGTATCGAAATCAGAGAATCGTGGTGAAGCCATTGATGATAAATTCACTGTTAGTCTCCCAGATGAACTCGTTTTTGCTGATTCCGTATTATTTGATCTTAGCGAGATAGATTCGTTTTTTTCAAATTCTGGGAATTTCACATCAGTTTCACCGCCATTGACTTCCATTGGATGTGAAGACGATGAGGAAGAGGAAGAAGAGAAAGAAGAGAAAGAAGAGGAAGACGCACGGCCAACCATCTTGTCATCATCTTTGACACTGTAAGTAACATCAAACTCCGAATCTAGATGTTCACTGCTACCACTCCCGTTCTTGTGTTTCATTTTGTTTTGTTCAACAGATAAACTAATGTCTAATGCTGTAAAACGAAAAACAATTCGTGTCCTTAGCTATCAATCAGTCCATGAATTAGAAACAAGAAGCCAACAATTATAACCGTTCCTATGATATGTTAACATGCAATTTTTTTCTCAAATTAAGTTACTACTAGTTAATCAAGACATTTATGGATCTGTGAGAAACAGATTCAATGAATTTTACGATATAATGATGATCATATATGCATGGCTTCAAATTGACGATGAGACGGAAAACTCTGGTTTCATGGCAACGATTTACCGTTCTTGTGATTGCAATTTGAATAAAGACGTAACAATCAAATCACGAGATGAAAATTTTGAAACGTCAATGGATTCATGCATCGCTATGAAACGAATGATGATTCATAGGAAACGACATGGAAAATCCAAAAATTGTGAGTAACTGAACTTACTTGAACATGAACATTCCCCTTATAGGTGGAACCCTACGGGTTAAGATCGCCGGCAGCACCAATGTTGCCCTAAATTTTAACGATGAAACCTCGGGGCACGAGATAGAAGATAAAGGGGAAAAAGTTTTGTATAGAGGGAAGAACAGGGTTTGATGATCGAATAACAGAAGGCTGAGCGCCCATTTAGGAAACGCTCATCTGTATGTGTCTCTTTTCTTTTCCTATTCGACAGGTATTTCTGTTTGTCAGAAGGTTTAGGGATGATTTTAGGAATAAAACAAAAGATAAAGGGGTGAAAATGAAAGTTAGAGAATTCTTCTATACATCACGTTCACCGTTCAAAAGCGTTCATATTATATCTTTCACTTATCTACACTCTACACGCCATAGCCATCCATGGAAGCAGCTTTGCAGAAACAGCTTTTTCCGAACCATCTGCTAATTTCAGCAAGAACACCGTCATTTGTCCACCAGAAATCGAGTTTTTCAACTCAATTTTTGAGTTACTCCGGTTTCCCCAAATTTCCGATTGTGGAACGTCGTCATAGGAACGCAAACGCAACGAAGGCAAGGTTTTTGTTTTTGCTCTCTAATATTTCTTCTTTTACCATTTGTTGATATGCGGTTTTTGTAGTATTTAAATAGATTAATGCAAGGAGAAGGAGATCAAACATGGAAACGGATACGTATGTATTAATGGAGCCAGGGAAGGCTGAAGAATTTGTAGATGAGGAAGAACTGAGAGTCAGATTGAAGAATTGGCTAGAAAATTGGCCAGGCACATCGCTTCCTCCTGATCTTGCAAGATTCGAATCCATTGATGATGCTGTTTCCTTCCTTGTAAAGTCAGTTTGTGAACTCGAAATTGATGGAGATGTTGGCTCGATTCAGTGGTATGAAGTTAGCTTGGAATAATCATTCAAGCAATTTGCAATTACAATTTACAAATCAATTAAATGCCATAGTTTTGCCTCCATTCAGTTCAGTCCAATCGAGTATAAATCAATATATAAGCTTTATATCATTTTAAAAACAGTTTCACAAGGTTCAATCAAACACAATGAGATTCAAATAATTTCTAATCAAAACCATATTTGAGCAAATCCATCAAGTTTTAAGAGCACCGAGATCTTGGAACTTGGACGCTTGAATCTGCAGGTGTCAGGGGATCTTACATCAATTAACATAGCACAAAAGATAATCAAAGGTATGACAATTGCAGCATGTGTGCATCATGAGGTTGTACCTTGTGTTGTTGATTTTTAGTAAACGATGGTGGTAAGAGACCCGATGATTTGTTAGACTTTGTTCTAGCAAGAAGTCCTTTAGAAACAGGGGACATGATCTGATCAGTTGGGCTTTTATACCTACAAAAAACCACCCAAGGATTTAATTTTTGAATTGAAAAAGGAGAAAGAAAGAATCGCTTACATTTCTGGATATTTGAATGCTTTTGGAACTGTAAGACGATCAGGGGTGGCGAGTTTAGCAGAACCACCGACCGGAGATGGAGAATTCATCTGAAGTGGTTGAATTGGGGATGGTGTTGATGGAGACTTTTGATCCATGGCTAGCGACTTATGAATTATGATCGAGTGTGAGTTTAGATAGAAGAAGGAGGAAGGTCTCTTTTTAAGGGTTGAAATGAAATCAAAATGCTAGGGTTTGGTTTTATTCAGGGTTTTGTCAGTGTGGAAGACGGTAAAGTGGGAGGATAAGTAGACCGTTGGAGGGACAAGGTAGTGCTTAACGGTCCAATTTAGTGGGCCAATACCCAATGGTGGCTGCGACTTATTTTATGTTTGACTACAAAACTATGCATTTAATATTGTATTTTTACTTTTTAGTATTCTCATATATAAATTCTTCGTTAAAACATCAAAAACATTATATATATTTGATTGGGTGGAAGTTTTAAGTTATTTTATAATAATTATTGTTGTTATTTGTTAAGATTATCCAAAAAAAGGTCTAGAATCGTTTGGTCAAACTGAAACATATATTATACATTCTAATATATTAATAGGCATGGAAATTTACTAGGTAACGAACAATATTAACCATATTTATCTCAATATTAACCATATTTTTCTCTTTTAAAAAACAACCAGTTTGTTCGGAACAAAATATTCCGGAGTAATAATATTTGTTTTAAAATTGGTGAAATTTAACGTAAAATAGTCTAGAATATGACATTTTAGAAATTATATTTATTTCACACTTTTTTGGGCTCACGAGATATAACATAAAGTAGTTGAGTTGATATAAAATGAGAATATGATTTATTAAGGCAATTAACTTTTTGGTTTGTTCACATCTGAGTAACTATTTTTTTTGTACACATCTAGGTAACAAACTTGTTGGAAGTGTTCACATATGACCATTATGACATGTTGTAGCACGTCACATTCGGTCATAATGGTCATATGTGAACACTTTCAACAAGTTCGTTACCTAGATGTGTACAAAAAAAAAAAATAGTTACCCAAATATTAACAAAACGAAAAGTAATAGTAAATTACACGATGGTCGTTGTAGGTTGGGGGAATTTGTGCGTTTGGTCTCTAACTTATTTTTTTTAACTCGGGTGGTATCTAGCCGGATGTAACGTGTTACAGCAGGTCATAATGGTCATATGTGAACACTTTCATCGTTTTTTTCAACATTTTTTTCTTCACGCATCGCCTTTCCCCGCTCAATGTATGTGTCGATCATCATATCCGCCCCCAACGATCTGCAACCTATCGTCTCCATCTTTGAAGCCTTATGTAGAAAGACCTTTCTTCCCAATAAGGTGCTTAATAGTATTCATGAACGACTTTGATATATTCAATACCTTCAGAACTCTGATATAATATATAATTCCCTTTTAGGGGTATCCAAAGATCTTTGGGGATTCAATAGGAACTTGTTGTAGCATGAAAACGCAATAAGAACCATGAACTTTTTGTAGCAGGGAGACCAAAAATGATGTGTTTGTGCTTTTATTTTGTTGTTTTGTTTTATAAAGTTATTCTTACATAACTGCTTGTTTTATTCTAGGTTTTATAGAATCAAAAAATCATTGGATGTTGTTTGGTGTGTAATTGATCATATACAATAAAATTAGCAATTATTGTATAACTAAGGCTAAAATAATTGTTTTATGTGAAATTGCTACAATTATGTTTCAAATGCTACTAATAGATTGATATTTTTACCAATTATGTTTCAAACTACTTAGGTTGAACAATGTGCTTTACCTAGACTTCAAAATTATATCTATAAACTTTGTGGCTAGTAGGAGATGATGTTGATAGTATAGAAAAAAGATAAAGAATAAATAGAAAAAGACAAAATCCATATTTGCATCCAACATTTTCACCCGCATAACCTTTGCAGCTCAACATTGCTGCCGGTGTTTGTGGCTATTGCAGGACAGTGTTGCGCCGACAATGTTGCCCACATCAAATGCCGACGACAATTCATGAGCCCAAGAATGGAGGGAGTGGTAACACTCTTAGCGCCTTGCCACATAGTTTTTTTATTGACACACAAGCTTAGCATGTATATGTTGAAAAAGGTAAGGAGTGGTAGTGTAAAGAGTTTAATAGATTTTATTTTGAAAAAAAAATTAAAAAAAGAAAACAAATAGCCACAACTAATCACGACAAGCCCTTTCCATCTCTCTTCTCTCGCTACGGAAGCGATCTTGGCTTAGTGAGTCCCCTAGCGAGAGCTAGGGGCGATGTTCCTTCTCCTAGCGAGCCTAGCGACTCCACTCCTCATAACCTAAGGCGGGAGGGAGTGACAGCACTCCTAGCACATTGTCACATTGGTTTTTTTATTGACACATATTTTTTTTTATTGTGCATGTTTACATTGAAAACTAGGCGAATATCCGCGCGTTGCGCATAATATAAGTATATTGTTGAAATATTTATATTTATAAATATATATGTTTTTGTTAATTATACCAATGATATTGTTAATATCAATATAATAATTCTTATACTAAGTTGTTAATAAACATTGATTATTTTGAATGATATTACAACGTAGACATTTATTAAACCTATATAATATCCATCTTCTTAATGAGTTCTACCCGCGGGTTACTCATAAATAAAATTAAAAATAATATATGGTTTAATGTTATTTATAATTGTTGCTATGGTTAATTAATTTTTTAAAAATTTTTTTTTGCTTAACATTTTAATTTATATCATTGTAATTATTTAAAAACATCAAACATTGTTTTTCTTTTTTAAATGTAACAATATAATTTTTTTACATAATGTTACTTTTGACTGTTGTTGTTGTAAGTTATTTTTAAATTACTTATTTAGAAACTCTTAATGATTATAAAATAGTTTTAGATTTTTGTAGTTATTTTGGAGCTAAAATTTAGGTTTTGCATTTAACACTACAATTTATATATTTTAACTATCTATAAAATAATATTTGGATTTTATTTTAAGTTTAATTGAAATTTCGATTTAAGTGAACCCTTACCATTATATTTAAATTAATATTTTAAGTATTTTATACTATTCAAAGCTGTGACTTTAAAGTGACAATGGTTCACATTCAATAGCATATCGAAACTAATAAGTTGAGTATAATATGTTAAAGTTAAAGACAAAATTTTATAAGTATAAGTAAAAGATGTTAGTTTAATATTCAAGTTTAGTCAATTTTAGATTAAAATTTAGGTTTTGCACTTATTTAAGATTATTAACCAATTTATAATCATTGTTAGAAAGAAATTGAAAAGTAATGAGAGTTTCAAATGGATGTGGTGCTTGGAAATATGCTTCTTTTAGCAGAAACACCTATATAGTTGAAATTTTCACAAATATATGTTTTCTTAAATATAACAATAACGTTGTTAAATTTGATATAATAATTCTTATAATAAGTTGATATAATATATTGATTATTTTGAATTATATGATAATATATATCTATTAAAACTGCATAATCTCAATCGTTTGAATGACATCTACCCGCAACATACTCATGAATGAAAATAAAAAATAATATATGGTTTAATGTTATTTATAGTTGTTGTTATTGTTAATTAATTTTTTAAAATTTATTTGCTTAACATTTTAATTTCTGTCATTGTAATTATTTAAAACATAAACATTGTTTTTTGTTTTTAAAGGTAACAATATAATCATTTATATATAATTATTGTTATTGTAAGTTATTTTAAGCTACTTATTTGAAAACTTTTAATGATTATAAAAATATCTCTAGGAAATATTTTACTTAAATTGACATTACAATTTAGTTTTTGCATTTAGTACTATAATTTATCACTTTTAATTATTCACAAAATATTCTTTGGGGTTTCTTTTAAGTGTGACTAAAATTTATATTTAAGCTGACCATGTAATGTTATATTTAAATAAACAACTTAAGTATTTTATCAAAACTGTACAAAAGTTGTAGCTTTAAATTGGTAATGATTTACATACAACAACATATTAAATCTAATAAATTAAGTATAATATGTTAAAAGTTAAAGACATAACTTTATAAGTAGAAGTAAATATATTATTTTAATATTGAAATTTAGTTTATTTATGATTACACTTTATGTTTGATATTTATTTAACCTTATTAACCAACTTATAATCATTATTAGAAAGACACTATAATTTATCACTTTTAACTATTTACAAAATATTCTTTAGGTTGTTTAAGTTGAACTAAAATTCATATTTAAGTTAACCCTGTAATGTTATATTTAAATTAACAATTTAAGTATTTTATCCAAACTGTTCAAAAATTATAGCTTTAAAATTATAATGGTTTACATACAATAACATTTTAAAACAAATAAATTAAGTATAATATGTTAAAAGTTAAAGATACAACTTTATCAGTAAAAGTAAAAATATTATTTTAATATGTTAAAATGAAAATTTTAAGTATTTTAAATTAAGTTATATTTAAATTAACAATTTAAGTATTTTATAAAACTGTTCAAAAGTTGTACTTGTAAAATGATAATGGTTTACATACAACATTTTAAAACTAATAAATTAAGTATAATATGTTAAAAGTTAAAGACATAACTTTATAAGTAAAAGTAAAGATATTATTTTAATATTTAAATTTAGTTTATATATGATTACACTTTAGGTGTTATATTTATTTAACCTTATTAACCAACTTATAATTATTATTAGAAAAAAATTGAAAAATCATGGGGGTTTGAAATGAATGTGGTGAAAGGAACAATGTTTCGTTTATAATTATATATATATATATATATATATATATATATATATATATATATATATATATATATATATAGAAGATAGGGAGTGGTAGTGTATGATTTTAAATAAGTTTTGTTTTGAAAAAAATTAAAAAAATAAAAATAAAAAAGAAACAACTAATCAAAACTCACCCTTACCATTTTCTCTCTCCTCTCTCCTCTCGTTAAACACTTAGCGATAGCCTCTTAGGGGATTAACAATTTATTGAACTCTATAGAGTTCAATGGATTGACACATCATCCATTAAACAACTATACAACACCACTTACAACTCATTAAACACCTATTCAATCATAATCATCACTTTATTACTTCTATTAAACCATTTAATGATCATTCAACTCTATTCCATGTCATCACCCACACTTAATTCAACTTTTATTCAATCCTAATCGTCACCATATTCAACTATTATACTACTGTCATTGTGGATGCTCTTAACGAGACAAAGAGGGCGGTGTTTGGCTTGTGCTAGCAAGTAGCAAAGGTCTTCGCAACCCCTCTCCGAGTCTAATATAGTAATATGTAAATATATATTTTTTAAAAAGTATAAAACTCCAGGTGACTCGCGTTCCTTGCGGGGGTAATAAGGTCATTTACGCAAAGAGTGCTTTATGGCGAGATCCCGTGTGCGGCACCAGCACCGAAAAGTCTCTCTCCTTTTTCTCCGCGCCATCAGGAATTAAGAACTCCCGTTTTCGTCGCCAATACTTACATAAATGACGATATGTATCCATTGATAATTGTATCGAAACACTGTTGCAGCTGCCAAATGCAAATAATGCTCAATTAACCACCCGGATACTTGATAGCAGCCTGGTGTTGAATTCCCGATTTCAGGTTAGAGATATCTCGTATTCCTCTACCTACTTCTGTAATCACTAATGTATGTTAATTTGTATGGATTGAATTTCTATCTGAAATTAGGATTTTTACATGCTCAATGCAAATGTTTATGCATATGTATAATCTATATGCTTTAATGTGAGTGTGCTTTGAACTGTTTTTTTGTTTTTATATTTGTATGTCTGTTTGATTTGACTTCGTTCAGCTTGTATAATTGTGAGATTTTACATCTGATGTTGATTAGACTAACTAGTTTCTATACTCCATTTCGTCCAATTCAATTTCGTGGTTGAAACTGCTTGTTCTTTTTTCTCTTGGAAAGGGTGATTTGGCACCATTTAACCTAGCTTAATAAAATAACCTATAGATACATTAATAGAAGTGCTAGTGTGACATGATCATACGGTTTCCTGATTAAGGAGAAATTAATCACGTTTATCAGTTTGATTATGTGAAAACTTTGTCAGTATTACTTCCCTGTAGTAATTTTAATACTCAATAATATTTGTAGTTTTAACTCTAAGATTTTTATGATTATTCATTCTCTTGACAGGAATAAATGGCTACAATCTCACTAGCAGATATTGCCTTCCAGACCCATCCACACCACCTTTTTGTTTCCTCAGGCATTGGTGGATCTAAATCGTATGTCAGTCCCAAGAAATACACACTAAACTGTAGAAAGCACTTCAATAGTAAAAGGTTTATTTATATTACCTTACTTTCAAATGTTCATAAATTTGTTAGAATCCAACATGTAGTCTTTGCAGAAAATGCTTACACAAAAGTCACCGCCTGTTTAAATCAAGTAACTTTATGTGCTGCACTGTGGTATGTTATACTCCTTTAGTTGTAAGTTGTTGAACATCATTGTTATTGACACTATTTTGACACCCGTGGCATAATGCATTAAAAGGAAATAGCAATATCAGAAGATTCAATAACTGTTGATAATGGTGGAAGATTAGCCCTTGTGGTTGATGATGATTCTCAGAAATCAAAATTACTCAGTGATGGACCACGTAGAGAAATACCAGACTGGATGGCACGAAGGATAGGTTCTGTTCGTCCTAAGTTTCCTCCTAAAAAGATCGACATTTCTGAAGCCAACACATCAAAATTCAAGTCTTTGGAATTGCCTAATCCTTCTGAAGTATGGTCAATTGCAAAAGCAAAGCCAAAAGATGGGGACACATTAATTGAACATGTAATTGAGAAAGAGTTAATTGAAAAGAAACGGAAGGCTCTAGAACGTGCTCTGCAACGAAAAACCATTCAATGGCAGAAGACCCCAGAAGAAATAAAACTAGGTTTTTTTTATTAATCTTTTCTTTTCTATCTATTTTGCCCATTATGTGTAATTTGACTTGTTCTTTGCTTCACATATCACAGAGCCAGGAACTGGCACAGGACGTGAGATAGTGGTTAGTAATTTTATATAAATTAGCTACAATTTTTGTTCTTTCATTGATCTCTGATAAACTGTTTCCATAGTTTCAAGGTTTTAATTGGGAAAGTTGTAGAAAAAAGTGGTACATGGATCTGGCTCCAAAGGCTGCAGATTTATCTCGCTGTGGTATAACAGCAGTGTGGTTACCTCCTCCAACCGAATCTGTTGCTCCACAAGGTCTTTATGACTTAAAAGCATTTACTTTGAGTTAAAAAAAAATACATGGCATGATATAAAAAGTGTTGATACATTTCATGGAATGACTTCAGGGTACATGCCTTCTGATCTATACAACTTGAACTCAGCATACGGGACACAGGAGGAGCTGAAGCATTGCATAGAGGAGATGCACAATCACCATCTTCTGGTATTATTTAGTCATCTTTAAAAAATAGTTTGGACGAAAATCTGATGATACATAAATATGTATTTTTTTTTTAATCTTTTACAGGCGTTGGGAGATGTTGTACTAAATCATAGATGTGCTCATAAACAGAGTGAAAATGGAGTATGGAATATTTTTGGCGGGAAACTTCCCTGGGGACCTGAAGCAATTGTTTGTGATGATCCAAATTTTCAGGGTCGTGGAAATCCTTCAAGTGGTATGATTATGAATAATTGAATATACCTCTCTAAAACAAATATAAATATGGTTTATAGATTCTATGTTTATGTAAGGATATGTGTTTTTCATGTTATGAATTGCAGGTGACATATTTCATGCAGCACCAAATATTGATCATTCCCAGGATTTTGTACGAAATGATGTAAAACAGTGGCTGAACTGGCTTCGGAACAATATTGGTTATGATGGGTGGCGCCTTGACTTTGTGAGGTCAAAGGCTATTTTGGTCAATACTAGATTTTTTTTTTTTTTTTCCTTACAAACCGATTGTTATGTTATTTATGTTATCTCTTAATTTATTCATCTTTATAGGGGTTTCTCAGGTGGATATGTTAAAGAATACATTGAAGCTTCAAATCCTGCATTTGCCATTGGGGAGTATTGGGATAGTATGGCTTATGAAGGTGGTAATCTGTGCTACAACCAAGGTAACTTTCATATAAACCTTTTCTTAGATACTACTTAGAATGTCACACTGAAACATGAAACTAAAAACTTAAAAAGTGAAACTTTTTCTAGTTCTTGTGCTAATCTGTGTTTGTTTTGGTCTTTCATTTAAATTACTCATTAATAGCTGATTTGGATTATTAATATGCTCTCAGATGCACATCGTCAACGTGTAATTAACTGGATCAATGCCACTGGAGGTACCTCATCTGCATTTGATGTCACAACAAAGGTATGAGAATTATCATATTGTTTGATGTCACAACAAGAGGAACTAGAAACTACTTGATGGAATGGAATGAGCAACGTATAATGGAATGGATCATTACATTCCATTATCATTTTTGGTTGGCTTAAGGGAATGAAATGAGTCTTTCAAACATGTTTGTTATGTACAATTAGAAAATTAAGTTGACAAATAACAAAGAAAATGTTGTGTTTTTTTTTTTTAAATAAACTTTAATCACATAAAAATATATCGCTAAAAAGTGCATATAGACATATTCCATCAAGGAATGAAATAAAAAAACCAGACTATAAGAAGGAATCACATTCCATTCTGTGTTTGATAATGATTAGTACATACACTGTATGGTACATATGATTATGATTTATGAAGGAAGCAGTAGATTAGTAATTGTAGTGGGGTCCATGCACAGGGAATACTTCATTCGGCATTGCATAATGAATATTGGAGATTAATAGATCCTGCTGGAAAGCCACCAGGAGTCATGGGATGGTGGCCCTCACGTGCTGTCACTTTCTTGGAAAATCATGATACCGGCTCAACACAGGTCAACTCCTCCTCCTCCTCTCTCTCTCTCTCTCTCAGTCACATATATCACATTATATGAAATTTTTGGTCTCAAGGGTATTTAATAATTTGTTACATACATATATATACAGGGACATTGGCCATTTCCACGAGATAAACTTATGCAAGGATATGCTTACATCTTAACCCATCCGGGGACTGTAAGTTCCATCTGAATGTTATTTATTATTTTGTGACAAAAAAAATAAAAAAATCTTTTCTATTTATATTTTGTATTGCAGCCTGTGGTGTTTTATGACCATTTTTATGATTTTGGGATCCATGATGTGATAACGGAGCTAATTGAGGCTAGGAAACGAGCAGGGGTCCACTGCAGGAGTGTTGTCAAGATTTATCATGCAAATAGCGATGGGTATGTGGCCCAGATAGGGGACACCTTGGTCATCAAACTTGGTCACTTTGATTGGAATCCTTCAAAACAAATTGATCTTCATGGGACTTGGCAAAAGTTCCTGGATAAACCCTCAGATTACCAGATTTGGTTCAGAATCTAGTACACTACTTCTTTTATAATTTCGATATTCCAGGAAATTACAACTAATAACTAAATCGAACATTCACTAATATTTACTTCTTATCTTAATTAATATTCATTCGTCTAAACAAGTGCAACACTAATATTTTCATTTGATTTTCTAACTTTGGTTTTGCTTTAGAATAAGCGTTTTATGTGGAACAATTTAGAAATCTGATCAATAGTTGAGGATTTTTTTTAAATATATTATTAGTGTTTAGATAAATAACAGTTTGTCCTTGAGGTACATATAACATATTCTACTTGTTTTATTACAATAAGGAAACTCAATGTAAACAAATAATAATAATAATAATAATAATAATAATAAACCTTTTAGTTAAAATATATACTAATTTAACATACCGTTTCGTAGAATACATGTTTTAAGCCAATAATTATTTATAAAAAAGATTGTACACACTATATTTACCTTGCAAAGAGCAGAAATTATTTTTGGAAAAAGAAAATAATGGAGATGCAGAGGGTAAAAAATCCAAATTAAAATTAAAACAATATAACAAGATAAGTGGAGATGCGGGGGATCGAACCCCGTGCCTCTCGCATGCAAAGCGAGCGCTCTACCATTTGAGCTACATCCCCGATTTATTGTACATGGGAATCGGTTTATTATTATTATACTCAGAATTATTTTGCAAGCATTAAATGAATCGTAATGCTGTTATTTGATTATGACCTAATCCCATAAAAAAAGAGACCAATTAAAAAACTAATAATTTTACCTTTTCAAGTTTACTATTTTGAGTAACTATCGATATTCTTAAATCTTAACAATTAACATGCAAAAGCTAAACTTGACGATAACTTAAAAACAACCTTATCCAATAAAAACCATGAACGATAGAAAAAGAATATGAAAGCTGATTACCTTGACTAAGAACAAAATTAAAAGTTCGCTAGCTTAAATAGAAATAAAAGTCAGATGTCGTAACCTTAAATAGAAAATTTCAAAAAGTTGGCCATTTTTCTAGGATCTAAGAGTTTGCAGCGACAGTTGCAATGGTTGATTAACCTTTTTATATATTTTACCCTTAATATTATTATAAGGTCGGTGGGGGAGTTGTACATCATTATCACATTTTTGCTCAATCACATCAATTTTCTCTCGTCCTCTCTTACCCCACAAAACTGATAGGAAATAGCCTTATCAGTTAGACCGGAGGGTGTGGGAGGGATGTTTCCCTCACTTTTTGTGGGCTCCACCATTCTTTCCCTCACCTAAAACCCAAGGAATGGATGGGAAGCTTCCCTCACTATTTTTTTATATTTTTTTAAAAATATATTTCATACATATATTATACTCATTTTGTAGGGAATTAAAAACCATGAATTTTAATATATTTTTTATATTTTTTTGATAGATTTATAATTTTATAAATATTAAAAAGGATAAAAAGAAAAAAAAAAAACTGTCCAATAGTATGAAGAGAGAGAGTGCGGCACTCCCTCCCCCCACCTCTTTCCCGCGGGATGTTTCCCTCACCCAAGGAGTGGTGTTCACGAGTGAGGGAAGCTTCCCTCACCCCCTTCTCGCTCCCATTCCGTCCAGCCTTATCACCTCTGTAATCCTTTTATTTTATTTTTTAATTTTAAATATATAAAAATAATATATCAATATTATATTCTACTTGTTGGAAATTAAAAATCATTAATTTTGATATAAGATATAATAATAATTAAAAAAGAAATGAAAAAAGAAAAAATATATGGTAGTCTTACGGTGGGGGGTTTTACTGCACTACACCTCAACCAGAGGTGTGGTGTTCCCCTCATACCACACGACCATGTCTTCTGTACCGCATGGTGCTTCAAAACCACACGTATCATTATAATATGTAGAAAAACACTATTATCCTTTCTTATATATAACAAGTGAGGTTGGTATGTAGGTTCGATCCTATATTTTCGATTGAATAAGCTAATACAAAATGTTGGTATGTAAAATTATTTGCGTAATATATATATATATATATATATATATATATATATATATATATATATATATACTAGTAATGTACCCGCGCGATGCGGCGGCGGCGATTTGTTTCATTCTGGCGATTAGTTTCCAAACGAAAGTTGGTGTCATTTCGGCGGTCATTAAATTGTTTCCTTTCGATTTTTTTTCATTCCGGCGATTCAATATATAAATATTAATATTATCTTACGATATAACGGTTAATAGAAATATGATGGTAAAAATAAATAAATTGAAAGACTGACCATTCAAAATACTCTAACATCCTAATTAAAGTTGTATAAAAACTTATTTATATATTAACAATTATGATAAAGAAAATTAATATAATACACTAAATAGACATGAGTATAAATTACTAATTGTTTGAGATCACATTTTTAACTCATAAATTACTAAATAGTGCATGTCACTTTATAACAACATTTTTTTTTCTTTTATCAATGTGTATGAAAAAGGGATGAATAATGGAGCGTCGCTTATTATGCATTTTTTTTCTTTTATCTGCTGTCATTTATTGTCCTGGTTTTAGTTTACGATTAGATTATAAAAATATATGTAAGATTGTATATACCAAAGGGCGTCTAGCCCAGCGGTATCAGGTGGTGTCCTCCCTCTTTGAGGTCGAGGGTTCAAGTGACGTCGTGGACATATGTGGAAGTAGGTGTTAGTTTAGGAGTAGATATAGATATATGTATTTGTCGGTTCAAAATAAAAATGTAAGATTGTATATATTATAACACACTCATCAATCATATAAGGTTTTTATAATAATAAAATTAAATTAGAAAACTCAGATAATATGATCTATAGGAGAAATCATATTTAAATAAATGACTAAAAGAATTATAACATTTAAAGCAAATTAAAAAAAGGTTTATAGGTTTAAATAAAATCACTAAGGTGAATATGAAAAGATAAATCGTTTTTTATTTCATGCTTTAAAATAAAATAACACTTCAAAAGAAGTGCATACACTTAATTATTTTGCGTGATTGCAGTTACTAAACATCCAAGATTTATAAAATATCTAAGATTAAAACCTATGATATTTTTTTAAACGGCTCTTTACCATTATTTCATTTAACCATCTAAATACCACATGTCTCCTAAAAAAACTTCAACCCGTAACCTCTCACATGAAAAAGGAAATCTTTATCACTATTTCATTTAACCATCTATAATAACCTCTAATTCCGAGTTCCACTTGATACAACAAATATATATTTATGAAATACGATTTCGGTTCATTTAACGTTTTGCATTAAAACATACATGGATAGTTAGTTATATTGTTGAAAAAACCAATTATAAATTGTTAATTTTTTCAAACTATCTTGAGAAGCCTTTCACATACGCAAATACCCATTTGTCTTTGTTGTAAGAACTAAAAGAAGAATGCATATGACAGCTTTATCCTTATATTAAAACTCGTTTTCTACATTCTTTAAAACTAAAATAATATCATATATTACAACCAAACTAAACGCAACTTTTATTCTATGATTGTGCCAATTTCATATCTAAACCGATGATCTCTAGTACTTTCCGATATCTTTGCACCAATTGTAATCCTCTGCACAACTATAAAAGTACATAACCAATATCATAAAAACCTGTAGAATATAAAAAAGTGTATATATAGATTTTTTCAATAACTTATGTTTTGTAATATGACAAATAAGACTTCAAAAATCATTGAGAAAGGTTTGTCGGGATTGTGCACCAAACTTTACCAGAATAAGTTAACCTTTACTCATAATAACAAGCTACTTCCACTTTAGGAACCCAACATTCTTCTGAACATTTATGGCTGCAGAAGGAAAAGAAAAATAAATTTAAGAAAATAATAAATTGGTATTAGACTACATATGGAAATATGCTCAAGAGTACATAAAAACTTCCTTCGTTTGGATTGAGCCATTAGCTGCATAAACCCCATATATCCATAAACCCCACTTCCGATCTTCTAAGTACAACAATAGTTCCTTAAGTATCCATTAACCCCATTTCCCTGTTTGTGACAATTTTAAAGAAAGTTATTCATTAGTAATTTAATTATATATAAATAAAAAATAAATTAAGAAACATGAACAACAACATGGGTCTTCATTTCCAGATGTATAGATAAACAAAATCAAACAAAAAAAGGATAGATCTGTAAAGATGAACAAATAAAGAACAATAAAGATGTTAACATGAACAAAACAGAACAAATATCTAAAGAAGAACAAAATCGACAGAAACATACCTTATAAATCGAAAAATAACATATATTAAGGTCAAAATCAAACATGTGTGAAACCTCACCAACATTAGAACCATACCCTGGTTAATCAAGAGGAAAATCATCAATATCTAAAAAACTCAATTCCAATCCAAAGGCACAATTCCATTTATCTAAAATATACAATTCCAACCTAAAGGAACAAAAAGAAAGAGAGAATTAAAGCAGAAAAAACAATAGCATAAGCTCAAAATCAAACCCGCATCAAACCTCACCGGCACAAATCTAACCAGTAGTACCAAACACAAAAGAGAAAAATAAGATCTCTTAATATTGGAGATTAGGGAATAGAGGCATAGCATAACTTTGATCTGAAGTAAGGCTGCATAACAATCTCCTTCTGGTGGTGGATGATGGCACTGTTTTCTTCTCCATATCAACAAAACGCATAACGATCTCTTAATATTGGAGATTAGGGTATGGGAGTAAGAGAAGAGAGGATCTTTGTCATAGACGGCAGAGAGAGGCAGATGTTAGGTTAGGTTTTCTGGTGGTCTGATAGATTTTGAACCAAAGAGGGTTGAATGGTCGAACATAAGAGTCTTTCAGAATAAAAGATATGATTAGTGCTAGATTTTGAATCATGGAGGAGACGTAACTTTGATGGTTGAAGGTTGCGTAAGTTTGTGAATGAAGAGGGCGGCAATGGTTGCATATTTCAAGTATTTAAAATAAATTACAACAAAAACTTACAAAATGAAATAAATTGATGGTGTCATCTTGGTATGTGGATTCCGATGGTAAAAGCAGCGAAGGCACAATAAGTTGTTTTAGGGCTGAACCTTGCGTCCTCATTTTCTTTGTAAGAGCCCT